ATCACCACCATCACTGTGATCACCATCATCATCACCATCACCATCATCAGTATCGTTCCCATCCCCATCATCATCACCATCACTGAAATCACCACCATCGCCATCACTGTCACCAATATCATGGTGCTTCTCAACCTCTGCCACTGCTTCACGTGGCATTCCTGCTGAGTTAGCTGTTCTGTGTGGTTTTCTGCTGTTGGTGTGGTAATTAGGGAGTCAGGACAGGGTAGGCATAAAGAACCCAAGTGGATGATGGTGGAGTGTGATTTTTCTGAAAGAGTCTCCATGAGAATCACTGATCTGAAGATTTTGGGAGAATCTCACATATTCTTTCAGGCCCAGGAGTAAGCCAGTGTTACCTGCTCTGTGGAGCCCTCCTTTGCTCCTCCAGGGAAGACAAATTATTCTAGCTGGAGGCTGACCTTACTGCTTGTCCGCCCTCCCAGGGTGGTAGGCCACTTTAGGTAGGAGGACCCTGTGGATTTCTCCTTGGTGACCCCCCATTCCTGGCACAGAGCCTGGAACATAATGTCTGCTCAAATGTGTGACCAAACCATCTCCCAATTCCTTAACTGTAGGATGGCGGGTGCCTTGATAAAATGTCACACGGTGCTTGAGGGCTGGCTTTGCAGGTCTGAGTAGATAGGTTACGTTTGTCGTCAATTGGTGAGAGTTGTTTTATGCATTTGTTAAAATTGTGGGACAGTGGTCTGGAAGCCAACAAGGCTCTAGGATTGGCAGAGTGATTCCCATCCCATTGTTGATGTCTGGCTTCGACTTGGCGCAGGGGACATTGCCTCTCCAGATCTCAGTTCCCTTATCTGACAAATGGGGCTTAGGGTTGAACAGCCTCTAAATCCTTTATCAGCTCTACAATTCAGGAAAGATGTTTAAAAATGTAGACTTGCGTTGTATGTACATTCAACATAGAGCAAAGAGAGAATTTCCCTAGCTAAATTGACTGCAAATAAAAATGAAACCTCTTGGGCTAGGTGTGGTGGCTCACGCCTGTAATCCCAGCACTTTGGGAGGCCGAGGCGGGCGGGTTACGAGGTTGGAAGTTCAAGACCAGCCTGGCCAATGTGGTGAAACCCGACTCTACTAAACATATAAAAATTAGCTGGGCGTGGTGGCGGGCACTTGTAATCCCAGCTACCTGGGAGGCTGAGGCAGGAGAATAGCTTCAACCTGGGAGGCGGAGGTTGCAGTGAGCTGAGATTGTGCCACTGCACTCCAGCCTGGAGGACAGAGCAAGACTCCATCTTGGGAAAAAAAGAAAGAAAGAAATAAAATGAAACCCCTTATAAAATGCAGGCACCTTAGCAACTACCATCTTAAGAGGCAGCATTATGATTCAGAAGGAACTGATAATATTGAGGAACATATTTGTGTAGCACAGATTAGGAGAGGTTGGGGGTGGGGGGTGGTGACGGGAAGATGCTAAGGTTGGAAGTTAGGGAAGTGAGCTCTGTGGGTTGGTTTCATGCACTCAGCTCACCATTCAACCTTTCCTGTTAACTTCCTGTATTAAGGAGGCTGAGATTAAGAAGATGGGGGCTCATGGGATAAGGGGAGACAGACAGAGGTGAGTGGCTGCAGTGGGGGATTCACCGTGGGAGCATTGAAGAAGGTTGGCAGTCAGCTAAGGTCTTAGGCTGTAGATCGGGTGCCTTATTTAGAAGCTGTTTACTGTTCCCTTAAGAGGATGCTCTCGAAAGAAAAACCGCTGCGAGGCTTGTTGCTTTCCCCATTTTAGTGATGTCTTTATGTTCCTCTTAGGAGGTGATGGTACTGATTTTATAAGAAACTGGTCAGCCGACCTTCCTAACTAGTGTGAATTAGAGAAAAGTCAGAACTAGGGAGTATCATAAAGGACAAATAATTGTATTATTTTCAGACAAAAGTATATGTAGTAAACTACTGACTAGATCTTCAAACTGGCTTTTTAAAATGAATTGTTAAGAATTATTTGAAATTAGCACATTAGTGGTAGTAGGATAGCAGGTATTATATAGATTTGATTAGGAGAGTGGGTAGTAAATAGTAGGTACAAAGAGACTGAAAATCAGCCATTTAAACATTTCTCCCAAATGTGGGGCTGGGAAGCTAGAGAAAGAATTACGCAGACAGTTTCATTTCAGTTCTGTCTGGAGGGAGAAGAAAGTCAGAGAAAATGGATAGGAAGGAAATATACCAAAGTGTTAGCAGTGGTCACATCCCCTGGGATCATGGGTCTTTCCTTCTCTTTCACGTTTTGCCACATTCTAAATTTTCACCAGTGGGCATTTATTATTTTTGCAATTAGAAAAAAGGCTTTAGGAGGAACTCCAAATACCCATCTCATGTTTACCCTCTTAATTTGCTTAGCAAACTTTCTTGTTATAGTCAGATTGGCTGGAATCCATAATTTCCATACTTGCGATTATTTAAATTAATGGAAATTTATCCTAATCCCTCATTAAAATGTGTTCATTGCATTGAAATTCAATACTGAGCAAATCTGTTACCTGGGATATAAAGAAAAATGTTCAGTCCAAGTGTGGTGGCTCATGTCAGTAATCCCAGCACTTTGGGAGGCTGAGGCAGGTGGATCACCTGAGATCAGGAGGTCGAGACCAGCCTGGCCAACATGGTGAAACCCTACCTCTACTAAAAATACAAAAATGAGCTGGGTATGGTGGCTTACGCTGGTAGTCTCAGCTACTCGGGAGACTGAGGCACGAGAATTGCTTAAGCCTGGGAGGTGGAGGTTGCAGTGACTTGAGATCATGCCACTGCACTCCAGCCTGGGTAACAGAGTGAGAGACTTGCTCTCAAAAAAAAAAAACCATTCAGAGTCTTCCAGGAAATTCACCAATTCATTGTGGCATAGTGTAGGGTTTGTTTATTATCTAGAATATGGTTTTTCTTTTTTGTGTGCTTGAATTTGGGCATTCACTTCATTTGTTGACCTGCAAGGAGCCATGTTGGCGCCTGCTGTTTGAACCTTGGGTATTTTAATGAAGTGGTTTGGTGTCCTGATACCACCAGCCCCCACTGTGACTGTTCATGGCTCCTGCTTTCCCAGGAATCATCTCCTTACTGTTTGTCTGTCATTCTAATACGTTTTATTTCCCTTTTTGAAAATAACTTTTTCTGCTCCCCTTCCCTGCCTGTTCCTCACGACCCCCAGAGAATGGACCTGCTAGTCTCCAGCCCCTGTGAATGGAAGACTCCTGGCAGTGATCTTCCTTCTCTCCCTGTGGCTCAGATGGTGGGCGTTGGGTTGACCGTCTTTCTTTGCTGGCTGGGAAGCAGGGCTACCTCAGCCCTTGTGAGGGCCCTCCAGTGGCTTTTCTCCAAAGGGTTTAGGGCTGTGACTCCCCATTGTTTTTCAGCGGTTTAATCTGTCTGAATCCAGGATATTGAGTCAGCAGTGGAAAGTTATGAAGACGAGGCCAGCCATCAGAAAAATTGGCTAATATGAAAGATTCATTTCAGGGTGAATGAAGGAGAGGGATGCTGAGGCTGGGCTGCCTTGCCAGGCAAATCACATTGCTGTAAAATGCGAGAAAGCAGAGGTTGCCTGCACCACTCACTCAGTGGCTACTTGCTGTTTCTTGGATTAGATATTGAAAGAACCTCATTTTATAGTCTACTGTTCACATTTATGGTCTGAAGAAGGAAAATGTAATTTTCAGCAAAATTCCATCACGTCTGGCAAATAATTTCAGGATCTTTACCTATGATACCACTTAAAAAAAAATGAGTATGGCTTTTTTCAAAAAGCGATTGTCCTTTTCAAACTCTGGGCCCTCCGGTTATTACGAGATTTAACACGGACGTAGGAAGCCTGCTCGCCTATCACTGGGACAGGTAGGTTGCTATGGAGAACAGGTGTGTCCCTGCGGTTTCCTGGGTATCCCAGTTGTCCTGGAAAAGAAATCAGCTCACTTTGTGTGATCTTTCTGCAATAGCGTGTGTGAATTAAATTTTTCTCAACAAAGATCAGATTTTTTTGTTGACTTACAGTGTGATTTCCAGCAGAATTTTGTCCTCTGTTTTGTTTTGCCTCATTGTGAATGCCACATAACTCTACCTTTTCCTGCCAGAAACACTTCCATGCAATGATCGCCCATCCAAAACAGCAGCAGCAGCTTCACCAACACAATCTCTCACTGCTGGACATGCCCACTTTGATGCCAATGATGACTACCCCTTAAAATAATTCAACATTTTTTTTTTTTAATTTTGGAGACAGGGTCTGACTCTGTCTCCCAGGCTGGGGTGTGATCTCGACTCACTGCATCCTCTGCCTCCCGGGTTCAAGTGATTCACCTGCCTCAACCTCCTGAGGAGCTGGGACTACAGGCACACACTACCACGCCTGGCTAATTTTTGTATTTTTAGTAGAGATGGGGTTTCACCATGTTGGCCAGGCTGGTCTACAACTCCTGGCCTCAAGTGATCCACCCACCTCAGCCTCCGAAAGTGCTGGGATTATAGGCGTGAGCCACCGTGCTGGCCTCAGCAATTACATGTGGCTTGCCAAGCCCTGGCCTGGGCCCTGGGGTTGCAACGTAGAGCAAGACCAATGGAGCCCCTTCCCTGGTGGAGCTTGTGTTACGGTCATGATCCTAGACCACGTGAACCCCCGAGGGGGCCCTGGGCAGACCTGTTCCTGGCTCACATTCACCGTCAGCCACAGCCAGACCTGGGGCCCAGAGCCTCTCTCGCTGTCCCCTGGGCCAAGTGGGCGTGTGTCTTGTTGGATGGATGACAACATCAACGGTTTCGTTTCGTGTGTGATTATGCAGAGGCATTTTTCAGAATGGAGAACAGTGCTTTATCAGTCTGCTTCTGATAATTTTATACAGGAAAAAAATCCTGTTTGTGCATATTCTTGGGTCCCTCCCCATTTAATAGTTTCTAAAGGCAGTCACTTGGTGGTGGGCTGGAAAAAGCTCTTTGCACTTCCTGGGACTTGTCAAATATTGACAAGTCTTTCTCCTTTCATCCAGTTCAGCGCCAGCACCCTCAAACTCACGGAAACACAGCATCCCGCAACGGCCGCCACTGTAGGCCCCAGGTGAGTGTCCTGCTCCCCTACCCGCACCCCAGACTCCCCAAATCCAGGTCGCACTGGCAGAAGTTACGTCTTTGCAGTTATTTCAGGAGCAAAAGGCAGTGATCACTCTCTCTCCCTTCTGTGGGTTTGTGGTCAGCAAGGGTCTACTGCAGTCCCGGTGCTGGACAGCCTGTTCTGCCCATGCTCGTTAACTGGTAGGGTCCTCAAGTGGCCTTGTCACAAGCCTGATTAGGCTGTACATGGATGTGGACAGAGTTGGTGACAGCACTGGACATCGGTGACGTGGAGACAGTGACAGACCCCAGCCTCCACGTACAGCCGGTGATTTGCCGGGTGGGCTCAGTTTTCCAGCAGCAGAGAATGCTGTGATCTGCATGAGCAAACAAAGCGCAGGCCCCGAGTGCCATGGGCTTGGAGACTAGGGAGGAGGCACTTGAAACTCCATTTGGGAGGCTAAGGGCAGCCAACAGCTGCTGTCTGAGGCTGATCCACTCCCTTGCCAGGTAGTGAAAAGACCATCCTTTTTAAAGGAAAATGAATGCCTCCCTATGGACTCTGTTCCTATCCCGCCACCCTCCGTGAAGCTTGAACTGCACCCACCTGTGCCTTCTCCAAGCCGGCCCCTGGTTCTGCCGGTACCGCTATCATGCTTTGGATGGACACGGCCTCATAGCGTCTATTTCTTTATCTGTGAAATGGGAATTATGCAGCCTCCCCTTCACAGGCTACTTATAATAGTTGCCATTAAAACTCTTCTAAACTCTAAAGTGCTGGGTCAATGTAAGGACTGTCATCGACATCACTGTCATCATCAGTCTTTCCATATTCACCTCCTGCTTCCCCAGCCCGGCAGTGTCTGAAACTGCAGGGTCCCTGGGGCTCCCCTTGTGGAAATTTGAGTTCTGAGCCTTCTGCCCTTTTGCATCCACCAGTCTGGAGTCAACCCATGTTTTTCATTTTCCCTCTGCAAGATGTCAGCCCACAGGAGAGGCCTGGAGCCCTGCAGGGGAGATGGGACAGTGTTTGCAGTAAGCCCCGTGGCTGTGGGAGCATGCAGTCTCCTCCATATTTCTGTCTGCCAGGCAGGGGGGTAACTTGCCATTATGTACTGGGCAGCCTGGGAGCTGGACTCTCAGATGAAAAACGCTTGTTCAAGCAGACAGCCAGGCATGGCCTAAATCAGAGCATCGATTTAGCAAGCAGCTTCGCTCAAGCAGCCAGCTGTGTAATCACCTTTTCAGGGGATGATGGGCTAAAGGGCAGGTGGGGTGGGGCAGGCAGACTAATACAGGGACCCTGTGTTTGATAGCCTTTGTTTAAGCAGAGGCCGGGGCTGAGAGAGAATCCCCGGGTAGGGAGAGGTGCTCTCACATCAGTAGGTTCACCTGGCCCCTTGGTGGAGCTCCCATTCATTCATTCACATAGAGTCTGCTGTGTGCCCGTCTCCGTGCTAAGAGAATGATCCAAGCAGAAGTCTGAAATCCTCAGGGATTCGTTTCCCATCTGCTTTATGTCTTGCTAAGTGGAGCAGGTCCTGGGCTGCAGGACTCCCTGCTGCAGGTCTGGGGCTTGAATTAAGGGAGAAAGACAAAGCTCTTCTTTTTGGTGCCGTCATTTGAGGAGAGGAGCATTTGCTTCCTGCCAGCCTGCCTGCCTGGGAGGCCCTCTTGCTCCTGCAGTCCCCGAGTCCCCTTTGCAGTTTCCAGTCTTGCTTGGGGTTGCCTCCTCCAAGAAGCCTCCTGGGCTAGCTCAGGTACCCTGCAGAGGCACTGCTGGGCCACTGACAGCTGGGCTCCTGGGGCCTGGCCATCTGCAGGGCTTTGGTCCTGGCCTTTTGCTTCCCAGACATGAGTCTTACCTTTCTACTTGGTTGTGGCCTCCCCATGGGCAGGGACTGATTTGGTTTGGATTTGTGTCTTCACCCAAATTTCATGTCGAATTGTAATCTCCAGTGTTGGATGAGGAGCCTGGTGGGAGGTGATTGGATCATGGGGGCAGAGTTCCCCATGCTGTTCTCGTGATAGTGAATGAGTTCCCATGGGATCTGGTTGTTTGAAAGTATGAAGCTCCTCTCCCTGCTCTCCCTTCTGTCCCAGCCACGTAAGATGTGCCTGCTTTCCCTTCTGCCATGACTGTAGGTTTCCTGAGGCCTCCCCAGCCATGATTCCTGTGCAGCCTGTGGAAACAGGAGCCAATTAAATGACCCAGTCTCAGGTAGTTCCTTATAGCAGTGCGAGAAGAGACTAATTCAGGGACTCTGTGTTTGGTAGCCACTGACTAAGCAGAGAACGGGCCTGGAGAGAGAATCCCTGGGGAGAGAAAGGTGCTCTCACATCAGTGGGCTCCACCTGGCCCTTCGGTGGTGCTCTCATTCATTCATTCACTCATTCATTAATTCATTCACATAGTACCTACTGTATGTGCCAGTCTCTGTGCTAAGAGAGTGATCTAGGCAGAAGACCTGCCTTCTTAGGGCTTCTGTTTCTAGCTTATAATAACTAAATAAGTAGATTATGATGTATAATATAGTAATACTTAGAAGGGATGAGACTGTGGAAAACAATAAATCAGTGAAGAGGGTGAGGGTATTAGGCCATTCTTACATTATTATAAAGAAATACCTGAGACGGGTTATTTATAAAGAAAAGAAGTTTAATTGTCTCACGGTTCTTCAGGCTGTACAGGAAGCCTGGTGCTAGCATCTGCTCAGCTTCTAGGGCGGCCTTGAGAAGCTACAATCAGGGCGGAAGGTGATGCGGGAGCAGGCACGTCACATGGAGAAAGTAGGAGCAAGGAGAGAAGAGTGTGAGGTGCCACACACTTTAAACCACCAGATCTGTGAGAACTCACTCACTGTCTCGAGGACAGAACCACGGGGAAGGTGCAGAGCCATTCATGAGAAATACACCCACATGATCATCTCCCACCAGACCTCATCCCTGATACTGGCGATTACAATTCAATGTGAGATTTCGGTGAGACATCTAAACCATATCAGTGAGAGATGCAATTTCTTTTCAGAGGAAAGTGTTGTTATAATAAGATATAATTTACATACCATGAAAGTCACCATTTAAAAATGTACAATTCTGACGGGTGTGGTGGCTCATGCCTGTAATTCCAGCACTTTAGGAGGCCAAGGAGGACGGATCACGAGGTCGGGAGTTCGACACCAGGCTGACCAACATGGTGAAACCCTGTCTCTACTAAAAATACAAAAATTAGCTAGGCATGGTGGCGTGTACCTGTAATCCCAGCTACTCAGAGACCGAGGCAGGAGAATTGCTTGAACCCGGGAGGTTGCAGTGAGACAAGGTTGTGCCATTGCACTCCAGCTTGGGTGACAGAGCAAGACTCCGTCTTAAAAAAATAAAAGTACAATTCATTTGCTTTTAGTATACTGACAAAGTTGGGCACCACTAGCTGCCAATTTCAGAACATTTTCCTCCCCAGTAGCAGTGACTCCCCAGTCTCCTCGTGCCCAAGGCCCTGGAAACCAATAATTTACTTTTGATCTTTCTGGATTTGCCTCTCCTGGACATTTTATATAAAGGAAATCATGCAATATGAGGCCCTTTGCATCTGGCTTCCTTTACCAAGCACAGTGTTTTCGCGCTTCCTCGCTGCTGACATGTGTCCGTACCACCTGCCTTTAGATGACCAAATAATATTCCATTGTATGGACATGTGTTTATCCATTCGTCTGTTAATGAACATTTGGGCTGTTTTCACTTTTGGCTATTCTGAACAATGCTGTGAGAAACATTCGTGCACAGGTTTCTTTTTTGTGGACATATGTTTTCATTTCTCTTAGGTAGAGAGATGCAATTTTATTTTATTTTTTTATTTTCTTGGACACAAGGTCTTGCTCTGTTGCCCAGGCTGAAGTGCAGTGGCACCATCATAGCTCACTGTACCCTCCTGCCTCAGCCTCTTGAGTTGCTGGGACTACAGGCATGCCCCATTACTCCTGGCTAATTTTTCAATGTTTACTAGAGATGGGTTCTCACTAGATTGCCCAGGCTGGTCTTGAACTCCTGGACTCAAGTGATCCTCCCACCTTAGCCTTACAAAGTGCTGGGATTAGAGGCATGAGCCACTGTGCCCAGCCACAGTTTTAAATAGGGTGGTCAGAAAAGGCCTCATGAGAAGGTGACATCTGAGCAAAGACTTGAAGAAAATAGGGCAGAAGTCACATGAAAACCCCAGAAGGATACCAGATGCAAGGGTGCCTCCACCAAGAGGCTGGAAAATGGAAGGCTTGACTTCACCAGCTGCACTCCAACCAGGGGGACCCAGTAAGTTTAGGCCTCACTGGCCCTCCCTGGCTTGGGGGCAGCCTGCTGGGAGGGGCTTCCCTTTCTGAATAAAGAGTCAAAGACCCAAGACAGAAGATTTTTGGCCCATGCATCTTCTTCCTGCCTGGAAAGCAGATGTGATTTCTGGAGATGGGGCAGCTCTTCTGTGACCATGAGGTTGAAATCCACATGCTAAAGACAGTAAAGCAGGAAAAGATCGTTGCCTTGATGGCATTCTTGAGCTACCCCCTGAACCTTGGATCTCTTGGGCCTGGAACTTTGTTCTATGACACGAAAAAGACCCTTTCTTATCTAAGCCACTGCTCATCAGGTTTTATGTTGTTTGCAGCCAAGTGCATTCCTCACTGATGGAATGTCCAACACAGAATGTATTGTCCCTGAGTCCCCCAGATGGAGCCCTGGCTGCTCAGACAGCAGGCAAGTTGGGAAGACTCGCTGGGCCCTTCTGCTTTCCTGTCCCTTCGCCATGTGAAGCTGGCCTTTCATAGGATTCAGATATCCCAGGCTGACCCTGAGGTCCCCTATGACTATGCTGCGGCCACCACCACTAGCCGCGTCATGGCGTGTTTCCAGCACATCTCCCTAACCTGGCTACTCTGGCTCCCCAGACGCGTTCCCCACGGAGTCCCGGTGTGCATGCATGGGGGCACAATGCTCTGTGATCTCAGCCCTTGCTTGCAGGTTCCTGTCTGGCCTCTCAAGCCAGCCGCTCCCCTTTCTCAGTTATCCCCCGTGTACCTCGTTCCCCACCTTCAGTGTTAGAGTACTTTTCCAGGGGAATGGCGTGGAAAAGACTTTCTCCCTAGTAGACAGAGTGCGCTGGCCAGCAGAGGCCAGACACGTTCCCATTCAGCTTTGTTTCATGCTGGGTCTGGCCCTAGGCCTGCAGCTGGCTCTGGCAGTGGGTGGATGTTAGGTGGGATTGCTGAAGGTGGTGGGCGGATGAGACAGTTACGGGTGTTGGCTCCAGGAGAGGCTCCCCAGCCTCCACCCCTTAACCTGGAGCCGGCCCCATCCCTCACAGCCCAGTGGCATACTACCTTAGCTCAGCAACCACGCCTCACTCCATGAAAATAATAAACGCTCCAGCCACCAGCATTGTCCTACTGCTTTATATGCATGACCTCAGGCAACGAGCGTTAGCCCACATCCATTCATTCCACAAGGATTTATGGAGCACCTACTGTATGCCGGGGATTCTTCCAGGTACTGGGGAGACATTAAAAAAAAAAAAAAAAAAGACAAAAGAATTCCATGTCCTTTCGGAACTTCCATATACACTTCCACTGGCTTCTTCATGGAAACATCTGGAACATCCTCATTTTTCTAGTCTTTAATTTTTTTTTGAGACAGAGTCTCACTCTGTCGCCCAGGTTGGAGTGCAGTGGTGTGATCTTAGCTCACTGCAACCTCCACCTCCCGGGTTCAAGCAATTCTTCTGCCTCAGCCTCCTGAGTAACTGGGGCCACAGGCACATGCCACAACAACTGGCTAGTTTTGTATTTCTTTGTTTTTTTGAGACGGAGTTTCGCTTTTGTTACCCAGGCTGGAGTGCAATGGCGCCATCTCGGCTCACTGCAACCTCCGCCTCCTGGGTTCAGGCAATTCTCCTGCCTCAGCATCCTGAGTAGCTGGGATTACAGGCACGCGCCACCATGCCCAGCTAATTTTTTGTGTTTTTAGTAGAGACCCGGTTTCACCATGTTGACCAAGGATGATCTCGAGCTCTTGACCTCGTGATCCACCCGCCTCGGCCTCCCAAAGTGCTGGGATTACAGGCGTGAGCCACCGTGCCCGGCCATGTTTTGTATTTCTTTTAGTAGAGAAGAGGTGTCTCCATATTGGCCATGCTGATCTTGAACTCCTGACCGAGTGATCTGCTCGCTTCAGCCTCCCAAAGTGCTGAGATTGCAGGCATAAGCCACCACGCCCGGCCTAGTCTCGTTTTTAATGTGGCACATGAACATAGTCTAAAGGATGAAGTTCACTATGCAAAAGCTCTTGTCATCTCAGAAAAAGAAGGAGAATTAAGTAGAACGTACTTCAAGAAAGTCAGTTAAGAATTTTTCCAGTTAGGAAAATTTCAAATGATTGGCTTTCGTGTTGCTGTTTTCCAGGGCGCACTATTGAGAGAACTCACTCACCCTGTTGTTATTAAGGGTGAAACCCAGACATTTCCTTATGTAAAAGCCAATTAAAACAAATTAAATGCAGATACTGTGTCACTGTAATGTTAGTTTTGAGAACTGGATCAATCAGAGGTGGTGGAAATGCCGAAGTTGTTAAGGCTTTGGTTGCCATGACAACAGTCCTCTGGTCTAAGTGGTCTGTTATTTGGGAATTCTTCCTGAGGTCAGGCTAACAGTGATTTTACTTCTCAGGGAAGCAGGTGGCGCTCTCTGGAGTCAGGTCTGGGGCCAGAAGACTTGGTGAGCAAAAACGGGGGTTCAGCCAGAACTGCCAGTGTTGTGACCTTGGGAGGCAGTCACTTCTCTGTCTGCCTCAGTTTCCTCGCTTTAGCGGCAGCCATTGCTGTGAGTATGTTGTGGCCCTTCAGCGCTTCTCAGAAGTTGCTGCATTAGTCTTGGGGATTCCTGATTTGCCGGCTGGCTTTCAGCCTGTGTTTTGGGGAAATGCAGATGATAGGAAAGCACCCCTGACGCTGCCCTGCCTGTCCAGAAGACCCGTGGTGGAAGTGGGAGTTCCTGACCGTCTCAGCTAGCGGCTGGTGAGCGCCTGCTGGGGCGGAGCGTTTCCTTTGCTTTGTTTTGTGGGTGGGGTTGTTGGTTTTTACATTTTGTTTGCAATATTGAGGTTGCTGGTTTTTGTTGTTTTTTCGGGGGATAGAGTCTTGCTCTGTTACCCAGGCTGGAGTGTAGTGGCACGATCTCGGCTCCCTGCAACCTCCACCTCCCAGGTTCAAGCAATTCTCCTGCCTTAGCCTCCCAAATAGCTAGGATTACAGGCCTGCACCACCACACCCAGCCAATTTTTTTTGTATTTTTAGTAGAGATGGGATTTCACTATGTTGGCCAGGCTGGTCTCAAACTTCTGACCTCAAGTGATTCACTGGCCTTGGCCTCCCAGAGTGTTGGGATTACAGGCGTGAGCCACCACACCTGACCGGGTTGCTATTTTTGTTTGTTTTTTGAAACAGAGTCTCGCTCTGATGCCAGGCGGGAGTACAGTGGCGCGATCTTGGCTCACTGCGACTTCTGCCTCCCAGGTTCAAGTGATTCTCCTGCCTCAGTCTCCCGAGTAGCTGGGACTACAGTCCCCCAGGGCTCAGGCGATGCTGTCGACCTCATAATCACATTTTGTAGGCGTCGGTGTTCACAGGTGTGCTGTCCTACATCACCATTTAAGTGTACTTAGTCTTCAGCCCTGGCCTCTGAGGCCGTCATTATTTTACAGACGAGAACACTGGGACGCAGAGGGTGATCTGTCCCTAGCCTCAGGGCTCCAAGGCAGCAGTGCCAGAGTTGGTGTGGTTCCCCAGTACCAGGCCAGAGTGGCGCTGTTCTCCCCATGCGTCTCTGCTTGTCCCTGCTGCTGCTCCTGCAGAGGCCTGCTCGGAGCAGGTCTCCAGCGACCTCCCTCGCCAGCATCAGGCTGACCAGGCCCTGCAGGGTGGTTTCCCTACTTTCTGACACCAGGCCCAGAGCTGCCTGGATGTTTCTCTCAGGGCACCCTGCAGAGGGGACTCCTAACGCAGTCATGGCCATAAGACGTCACAAGCCACAGGTGCGTGCATCAAAAACATCTGCTCCCCTGGCCACAAGAGGCCCCAGAGCACCTCTGTCCTGCTGTCCCAGGCCCAGCTGCAGCCAATTAGCACCTCTGTTGGGCCACAGGACCATTTCCTTGCTGCCCGGGAGCCGACTGGCCTTTTTCCACTCTGTGGCGGGGGGGTGTTGTTGGGAAATGAGGAAGCAGTTGGGGATTGAAAAACTCTATGCAGGAAATAGGCTGCTGAGCTAACGTTTAAGCCACTGAACAGTAGTGGAGTGTTTGCTTGGAAGTGAGGCCCGGGAGGCTGCAGAGGGCCATGAGATTCAAGCACGGTGTTTGTCAGGCTTGTCCGTCATCCTCTCTGGGCTCGACATCAGGGCACCCATGCCTGTTAGGTGCTTGGTGACCAAACACATCCCAGATGGAATCAACCCAGAAGGAAGAGGGTTGGGTGGTAAACGTTTGTTCACTTAGCCATGTTCTCTTAGGGTTTCTTCTCCACATAAGAGCAGAAGGGAGATCTCCCTGCCCTAAGGGTCCCCTGGCCAAAGGGCTACAAGCAGATACTGCTAGGTCAGCCCCAGCGAGGTGACTGAAGGTGGGAGGTGGCTTCAGTGTGTGTGCAGGAAGCTGGCATTGCAGGTTCTGAAGCAGATGGCAGGAGCCCCGGGGTTGGGCTGTTTCAGAACCTTGGCTGACTGTTCCTTGGAGGTGAGGTGGGGGCAGGTAATGTTGGCTGGAAGGTTGGGCTGGGAATTGGCCACCTGGGGTGTGCGCTGGCCCATCTGCCTTCCGCTTCTGTGCCATGAGCCCCTCGTCCTCCGCAGTGAAGGTAGGTGAGGCTGCCCTGCACCGGCCAGCAGACTGGGAGAAGGTGGGAATCAAAGGAGAAGATGTGTTGGGCTGGCTGGAGCCATGCTGAGCCCTTGCAGGAGCAGGGGTTTCTGTCCATCACCCCTGGTCCTCATGCTCCTCCTCAGCAGCGTTCCTGAGTGCAGAGTACAGGTGTGATTGCTCCCTCGGGCAGAATCTGGGAGTGCCCCCTTCTCCCTCCCTGTGCATTTGAAATTTGGCTGGTGCTTGCTGACAGATGCTGAGGCTCCCGCTTGGCAGCTGGCCCTGGCAGCCACTTGTCCTCTACTCTCCCTAGATTTGGCTGAGCTGGGCTTCTGCTGTGCCCCTCATGCCCCTGTTCCTTGTCTTGGCTGTCCCTTTGGACCAGTTCCAGGTATCAGCTCTCCGGGAAGCCCTTCTTTACCGAACTGGAGTGAACTCCTGGGTGGCCAGAGCATGTTGCGGTGACCCTGACTTTCTTCTGTGGGTCCTACATATTAGAGGGAGTGTAGGGCCTCTTCCCCCAGCATCTCCTGAGGAAGGGCGCCCGTGGGGAGGTCCCCGATGCTACCTGGAATCCAGCTTCACCTTCCCCCAGCTCCAGGGATTTGCAGCCACAGCTGGGAGTGGGAGAACTTTGCCTTGTTTGCATTGCTCCAGATCGTGTTAAACAGAATTTCAAAACATGCATTTCGTAGGTAGTGCTGTCATTCAGAATGTGTAAAGTAGCTCTCTAGGTAGCTATGATGGTGATGGACAGCCTGCAGGAAGCATTGTGCCAGTTACTTCTGTTGAGCCCCCTGCAGAGCGGTTAGCGTCGGGTGGGGGATTAGACTCTGGTTCTTTGCTTCCTGGCCCTGTGAGCCCCGGCAAGTCATTAACTTCGTGGAGCCTCAGTTTCCTGACGTGTAAATCATACTGACCTGGTAAGGCTATTGTGAAGATTACATGAGCTATTATATACCAAAGTATAGAGCGTAGTATATATTCAAGTGACTGTATTTGCCTTAGTTCCATTATTTTGTTAACATGGGAGATCAGTGGGTTTTTTTTTTTTTTTTTTCAGATTTGATTTTTATTTTAAGACCAGGATGGGAACCAATTTCCCACAGTCATCTTGGGTATAAGTACTCTTACCTTCAGCAGGGACTTAATTTTGGCCAAGAGCCTTGGCTTCTTCCAGTAGAAGGTGGTGTTATTAGAGCCGGAGTGTAGGGACTGAGTCCTCGGGGTAGCACGTCCTGTAGGCAGTGGTAATGTGAGTGACTTACTGTATATGCCTTCATACGTGGGCATTTATGGTCAGCCCAGGACCAGAGCTTCTCACTTCCTGACCGATACGTCAGAAGCTTCGTGTATAATGGCCTGTTAGATGTAGTGAGTGCAGAAGACTGAAGTTGAGGTCATTTCTGTCCACAAGCTGTTCATGGAGGAGCTGTTCATGTAGCTCAGCTGTGGAAGTTGCTGGCCCTATGTGACGAGGATGGACAGCCAAGGGGGTCAGCGCCACGTGCTATGGCACTTGGTTCAGCGTGTGGTCTCCTGTGTCTCCCCAGGAACTCTCTGCAATAGGCAGGTGATGGCCAAGATTTCATTTTAACCAGGAGGACACTGAGGTCCAGAGAGGTTAAGTGACTTGTCCGAGGGTTAACAGCTCTGGGTATCAGGATCTGCTTTGGCGCCCAGGTGCCTCTGACCCCTAGGCTGGAATGGTACCAGCACAGAGCAGGTGTTCAGTGAGGTTTGCTGACCTAGGTGATGGTTAATCTTCCATGCCAGCTTGACTGAGCTAAGGGATGCCCAGGTAGCTGGTAGAACCTAATTTTAAGGTGTGTCTGGGAGGGAGTTTCTGGAAGAGATTGGCACACTGAGTAAAGATCTGCCCACACCAGTGTGGACGGGCACCACCCCATCCATTGAGAATCCAGATAGAACAAAAATGTAGAGAAAGAGTGAGTTTGCTTGCTCTGCTTGAGCCGGGACGTCCGCCTTCTGCTGCTCTTGGACACGGAGCTTCTGGTTCTCAGGCCTCTGGGCTTGGCCTGGAGCAACCTGGCTGGCTCTCCTGAGTCTCCGGCTTGCAGACAGCAGCTCATGGGCCTCTTCAGCCTCGATTGTAACATGAAGCAATTCCTCATAATACATTCCTTTCTGTTTATTTGTATGTATTTATTGGCTCTGATTCTCTGAAGAACCCTGACGAATACAACCTAGATCTGGGCTACGTCCCCACCTGAACATTCTCTGCCCCATGTGTTCCGCATGTGGGGGTTTCTGGGAGGCTAATTAGACTGCAGATTCCTGCTGCCCCACCCCCCACTCCCTTCCTGCATCAGTGTCACTAGTGGTGAGCCTTTAAATGCCTGTAACCTGCCTAAGGGTACCCCCTAAATTAAATTTAAATTTTAATTTTAATTAGTTGTTTTTTTTTTGAGGTGGGATCTTGCCATGTTGCCCAGGCTAGTCTCCAACTCCTGGGCTCAAGTGGTCCTCCTGTCTTGGCCTCCCAAAGTGCTAGGATTACAGATGTAAGCTGCCACTCTCAGCTTCTAGGGGTTCTTATGCACCTAAAATTCCAAGACTCATAGCTTCAAGCTTCATTGATTCTTTCCTGAACAGTCTTGTGATAGCGATATAACTCCCCACCCCGGAGATGCTCGATCGGAATCCCTGGGACCTGCAGATACATTGTTTTATGTGGTAAAGGTCTCTGAGAGACCCGTGTCCACAGACGGAACTATACGAAAACAGGATTGGGGTGTATAAGCCACTAGGTTGGTGGTGATTTGTTAGAGCTGTGACACCAACCTTCATCTCAGCTTTAGACTTTTCCTCTGGCATGATCCCTTCCCCTGCTTCTGACCCGAGGATCCCAGCCCTGCCCAGGCCCGGACCCGGGCTCCAGGTGGGTCTGGGTTGGGGCTCCCAGCTGCAGGAATGCAAAGTTCACGGTTCTACACAGTGCTTTGAGGTGAGGCAGGTCACATCAGCGCGGCCTCAGATTTGCTGCTTTTTTTACTAAAGAAGGAACAGCTCCAGGCCCTGCCTGACTGACCTACTTGGGGGTGCAGACCGAGGCCCCATCAAGCAACACAAGGTCCCAAGAATTTGACTTTAGGATTAGTTGGGCCACACGCAAGGAGTTCCTGGTCTCATGACACC